GAATGCACAAATTTTTGCTTAATGGGTAGGTTCAGTTGTTTATTCCTTCCATCCTTCCTCTTCCTCTCTCTCACTCCCTTCATTTATTCCTTTATTTCAAAAACATGCTTTCAATTGCATACCACCTCTTGGCTCAATGAATGGCATATTTGATAAGTGTTTTATTTCAGAAGGAAGTTAAAGTGTGGCTGACCAATAGAAATCTCAGTGGTTTTTGGAGTACTAGATTGTACTGTGTATACTATAAATAGACTGCACTCTTTCTCCAAATATGGTCTATATTATTTGCTATACCAATATATTTTCTGTCAATAAATGTTTTTCTTCTCTACCCTGATGCATACTCTCATCTTTTCACACTAGGTTTTTAGTAGGTTTATTTTATTATTTCTCCTTACACAAATGCTTGCACAAAAGGAATTTTAAATAATAAGATGCTTCTATATAGATTCCACTGGGAAAATCCTTCTTTGCAAAATAAGAGATGGTTCATTTCCACTAATTTAGTGAATATTTACTAATTTCTTACTATATTCCAAAACAGAGTCCCTGGGTGGTACAAATGGTTAGTGACCTCAGCTGGTAACTAAAAGGTTGGCCCTTTTAACCCACTCACAGGCCCCTGGTAAGAAAGGCTTGGTAATATACTTCCAAAATACCAGCCAATGGAAACTCTATGGAGCACAGTTCTACTCTGAGATCTGTGGAGTATTTTGGTTTTGTTTTTTTTTTTTAATGTTCCTCAGCAGTGAAAACATTTACCAGATATGATTTCTGGACTCATGGAACTTTGGTGTAATAGAGAGTTGGGATCATTTTCAAGTAATTGCAATAGAGTGTGATAAGAGTTTTGATAGAGAAATTAAAGGAGTTGAGTGAAAAAGAGGAAGACCCTCTATGAGATGGATTGACATAGTGCCTGCCACAATGGGCACAAACATAGGAATGATTGTGAAGATGGCATAGGACTGGCAATGTTTCATTCTGTTTTATACACAGGGACACCAAGAGTCGGAGCAAACTCAATGATACCTAACAACAACAGGCCCCCTTCTAATTGCACCAAGTTTGGAGGAGACTAATTCCTGTGAGGTGGAGGTCAAACATACCTCCTTTCTCTAACCTTTTTACTGACTATCTCCCATAGCTCTCCCTCCCACAGCACTCTTAACTCTATCTTGGGTTGAATAATTTGTTGCCAATGATCACAAAGAACTCAGAGACCCTGATGACAGTATGAGATTTACTAAGAGAGTGGTGGTGCTGGTGGTTGTATGCCGTCAAGTTTGTTTCCACTTACAGTGACACTATAGAGTGTTTCTGAGGCTGCAGATCTGTATTGGAACAGAAAACCTCATCTTTTTTCTATGGTTGTTGTTGTTAGGTGCCATTGAGTTGGTACCGACTCATAGCAACCCTATGCACAACAGAATGAAACACTGCCTGCTCATGGGCCAACCTTGCAATTGTTGCCACTCTTGAGCCCATTGATGCTGCCACTTTGCCAATCCATCTTGCTGGGGGTCTCCCTCTTTTTTCTGACCCTCCACCTTACCAAACATGATATCCTTCTCCAGCAATTGATTCCTCCTGACAATATGCCCGAAGTATGAGTGACAAAGTTTGGCCATCCTGGACTCCAAGGAGCACTTTGGCTGCACTTCCTCCAACACAGATCTGTTGGCTCTTTTGGCAGCCCATGACACTTTTGATATTCTCCTCCAACACCATAATTCAAATGCATCAATTCTTCTATGGTCTTCCTTATTTACTGTCCAGCATTCACATGCATATAAGGTTATTGAAAATACCAAAACTTGGGTCAGGTGCACCGTAGTCTTCAAGCTGACATCTTTGCTCTTCTACATATTAAAAGGTCTTGTGCAGCAGATTTGCTTAATGTAATACCATTTGATTTCTTGGCTGTGGTTTCCATGAGCATTGATGATTGATCCAAGAAGAATGAAGTCCTTGACAACTTCAATCTTTTCTCCATTGATGAGAATGTTTTTTATTGGTCCAGTGGTGAGGATTTTTGTTTTCTTTACATTGAGATGCAATCCATACTGAAGGCTATGGTCTTTGATCTTCATCAGTAAGAATTTTAAGTCCTCTTCACTTTTAGCAAGCAAAGTTGTATCATGTGCATATTTCAGGTTGTTAATGAGTCTTCCTCCAATCTTGATGCCACATTTTTCTTCATATAAACCAACTTCTCAGATTATTTGCTCAGCATATAGGTTGAATAAGTATGGTGAAAGAATACAATCCAGTTGCACACTTTTCTTAATTTTACATCATTTAGTGTTTCCATGTTCTGTTTGAACAATTACATCTTGGTCCATGTATAGATTCCTCATGAGCATAATTAAGTGTTCAGGAATACTCATACTTCGAAATATTGTCCATAGATTGTCATGATCCACAAAAACAAAAGCCTTTGCATAGTCAATAAAGTACACAGGTAAATATCTTTCTGGTATTCTCTGCTTTCAGCCAAGATCCATTGGACATCAGCAATAATATCTCTTTTTCCACGTCCTCTTCTGAATCTGGCTTGAACTTCTAGAAGTTCTTTGTCAATGTATCCTTGCAGCCATTTCTGTATTACCTTTACTAAAATTTTACTTGCATGGAATATTAAAGATATTGTCCGATGATTTCCTCATTCTGTTGGGCCACCTCTCTTTGGAATGGGCATAAATATGGATCTTTTCAAATCAGTTGGCCAGATAGTTGTCTTCCAAATTTCTTGGCAGAGATGAGTGAGTGCCTCCAGTGCCTCCTCATTTTCTTGAAAGGTTTCAATATGTATTCCATCAATTCCTGGTGCCTTGTTCTTTGTCAATTCTTTCAATGCACCTTGGACCTCCTCCTTCAATATCATTGGCTCTTAATCATATGCTACCTCTTGAAATGATTGAATATCGACCATTTCCTTTTGGTACAGTGACACTGTGTATTCCTTCCATCTTCTTTTGATGCTTTCTACATCATTCAATAATTTGCCCAGAGAATCCCTCAATAATGAATTTTTTTCTTCAGTTTCCCCAGATTGAATTTTTTCTTCAATTTTCCCAGATTTGGAAATGCTGAGTGTGTTCTTTCCTTTTGGTTCTGATTCCAGATCTTTGCACATTTTGTTGTAAATATTTGACTTTGTCTTCTCAAGCTGATCTTTGAAATTTTCTGTTCAGCTCTTATACCTCCTCATTTCTTTCATTTGCTTTAGCATCTCTATGCTGGAGAGCAAGTTTAAGTGTCTCTTCTGACATCCATTTTGATATTTTCCTTCTTTCTTACCTTCTTAATGACTTTTTGCTTTCTTCCTATATGATGTTCTTGATGTCATCCCACAACTCTTCTGGTGTTCGGTCTTTGGTGTCTAATGTATCAAACCTGTTCTTCAGATCTCTAAATCCACGTGGGATATATGCAAGGTCATATTTTGGGTCTCATCGACTGGTTCATTTTCTTCAGCTTAATTTTGAAGTTGCATATGAGCAATTGATGGTCTGTTAAACAATCTGCCCCTGACCTTGTTTTGGCTGATGATATGGAGCTTTTCCACCATCTATTTCCACGCATGTAGTCAATTTGACTTCTGTGTATTCCATCTGATGAGGTCCATGTGTATAGTCATCTCTTATGCTGTCTAAAGAAGGTATTTGAAATGTACAAATCATTGGTTTTGCAGAATTCTTTCATGCATTCTCCAGCATTTCTATCACCAAGGCCATATTTTCCAACCACTGATCCTTCCTCTTTTTTTTTTCCAGCCTTTGCATTCCAATCACCACTAATGACCAATACATCTTGATTGCATGTTTGATGAATTTCAGATTGAAGAAGTTTGTAGAATTCTTCTATTCTTCTATTTCTTCTTCACTGGCTTTAGTAATTCAAAATGACCTTGCAGCCCAGTGCTTATCTTATAGCGCCACACTAGTTACTATAAATTCTAAGTTGATCCTGAACTTGAATTATATAGTCCAATACTTTCTTAATAAATGACTTCTAGTTATGAGTCGGGCTGCTAATCTTAAGGTCAGCAGTTCAAAACTCCCAGCCATTCCATAAGAGAAAGATGAAACATACTGCTTCTATAAAAATGACAACCTTGGAAACCCTATACAGTGTTGCTTCAAGTCAGAACCAACTCCACAGCATATAACCTACCACAGCACATAAACTACCAACCACTTCCTTAATAAAGGAATCCTGGTAGCATTAAGGTAAGCCAGTTGAATATACTAATCACTCCACGGAAGAGCCGCCACTAGTCTGTCAGTTTGTTGCACTGTGGTGGCTTGTGAGTTGCTGTGATTCTGGGAGCTATGCCACAGGAGTACCAGCAGAGTCACCCATGGTGGACAGGTTTCACCCATGGTGGACAGTATGAGTGTGGGTTTGAACTGCCTTGTGGCTTGCTCCATATATTTTATGCATGGTCATACCTCCACAAGTGTTCCACAAACCTTATTTGCAATATTAGCAGTGTGTCCAATCCCATTGGTGTATCACAAATACCTTATTTGCATAATCTTTCCCAGTCATTTTGTGGGAATCACAAGACTAGAAGGGCTATATCAAGTAATTCACTATACCACAGAAGAGTTGTGTGAACACTCACTCTAGAATTCTAATACAAATTTAGGGTTAGAGAAAGTTTCCTGGAGGGGGTTGGGTTGTATTTAAATCAAGATAAGTCAGCGACAGTCAAGTTGATTCTGAATCATAATCAACCATATACGTTTAGCTTAATCTTTAAGGGTGGCATTCAAAATAAGATATTTATTTGCTACCTAAAATTAGAATTAAGAGGAAAGTTATTGACATGGACAATGTTTCTGCATTGTCCCTTATATAGACTGGTTGCTCCTGTGGCGCTGAGCAGCAGGGAGTGGTGTAATGGTAAGCTTTGTCAGGGCAGTGCATGAGCTCAGAATGAAAGGTCTACCTCCTGGATTTTTCTCACGTTTATCTCTTTGGTGTTTCAGTCTCTAATTCGGATCCTGGATACCCCCAAGGGCCATGCTGCTTTCAGAGTCTCCAGTGGGTTCAATGGACTGCTGTCATTGCTGTCTGATCTGGAGGGGTCTCTCCAAGAACCCCCACTGCAGATGCAGGGTCCAGTATCTCCAAGTCAGAGTTTGGACCTAGTCTTCCACACCCTCTGTGCCATTTGTGCGGCGCTCCACCTGGACCCTGTCAACAGTGATTTCTTCCAGAGGAATGGACTGTTTGAGAAGCTGGCTGAGGATATCTGCCTGTTGGGCTGTTTCCGAGTCCTGGAGGAAGAGGCAGCACCACTACAATCCTGGGCCGACACAAAGGCCAGACCATTTGCTGATTTACAGGGTGCTTCCTTTTCTTCCACCAGTCTATTCCCATCCAGGATACAAAACTGCCTCCAGATCCTCAGCTTTCTGGACAGCATGACAAGAAGCACCCTCCACCTAAGGAGGGACTTGACCGAATCTCTCAGGAAAGGTCCAGAAGCTGTTGTGGATGCCCAGAAAGGAGATGTCAGCAGTAATCCTGAAAGTAGCTTCCAGCTGTGGCCAGACCTGGAGGAAAGGTAAAACTTTGATTCCTTCTTCTGAAATTAATGGTTGTCAGTGTGTGTTCTGTCTCTCATTTCTTACCCTAACATCCAGGACATGTAAAGGGCATATGAAGCCTGATCCACAAACTTGGGTATGCAGACATAGCACAAGACTTTATTTTATTTAACTCAAGTTAAATCTGACTCTGAACTCCCTCACCATCAGAGCTGGAGGAAAATTCAGTCTGAATCAATATAGGGTTGGGAGGATGATGTTGGGTCAAGTAAGAACCAAGGAGGCTTACATGGTGCACATAACCCCAGGCAGGATCTCTACTGAGATGCTAAGTTATCTGTGTTGGGATGTTGGTTGTCTTTGATGTATGGATTCAGCCTCTCTGGGTGTGTGCCTGGTAGCTTTCTCTTTCAACCCAGTTATACCAGAGAATAGAGTCATGCCGTGTGACTTGCAGGTCATACATTTCAGTAAACTTCCCAATCATAGGGACTCTTCCTGTGCTTGACAATTTCAATCTTTTCTCTGTTGATAAAAATGTTGCTTATTGGTCCAGTGGTGAGGATTTTTGTTTTCTTTACATGGAGATGTAATCCATTTATTGGCAAAGCAGCATTGCCATTAAACATTTACTCCATTGGAATTAATGTTTCCAGATTCCTTTTATATACCCTGCAAGCTTGCCCCCCAGTC